GGTATTTCTTTGTCTTCTCATTATTTGTGAGACTCTTCATTTTTGCTTCTCCTCCTTAAGTTATCTGTCTTGATTTCCTGACTCTGTGGTGTGAACTTCTATGGTTGGAGACTGCTGTTTTTACCTTCTGGATCAGCCTCTGATTATGTCAGATGTCATCCCTGTCTGACCTTAGGCAGTCTGTTCGAGACTTCCAGTAATCTACTGCTTGTGGCTGTCTCCTTCAGCTGTTAATCTTATTCACTCTGCTCTCAGCAGGATGCCTTAAACAGCTCAGGGTGGGGCAGAGTCCATCCAGGGGGATGGGGTTATTGGGTCCTCTTACTTTGCTGCAGTTAGATTGTGCTAAAGCCGATTCTCCTATCTCCAAGGTTACAAGGCTCCTCTCTCACTATTGTTCAGTTGTTTGTTCCAGGTGATTTCTCCACAATTTAGTTGTAATTCCAGGTTGGTCCTGGAAGGAGGTCAGTGTGACTTCCATTTACTCTTCCACCATCTTGATTCTCCCAATCTGTCCTTTAAGTGGGAGCTCCTCAGCTATGGAATTAGAATCTTGAAAAAGATTGAATCTGTGTTTTCTTGAGAAGATGTATTAGTTCTGGTTGAATCAGTCCCACGAGGCTATTGTGTTACCTGATGACTAGCCAAAGTTGAAAAGCCTGTGCCCATTTAAAATCAAGGATTATTAGACTTTGGAGAAATTTCTAACTTTGTAGCTTTCCTATTTGGAAAAAGGAAATCCTTTAAATTAAATTTTAAAAAATTAAAATATCAGGAAAAGGAAAAGGAGTCCTCAGTGGAGGCCAAAATGGAATGGTTACAGAGGCCAGCATAGTACAGGGAGAGCTCAGAGATGTGCTTGTTGGACAGTGAGAGTCTAGTACATGTTTGGGTGGTTGGGGAGGGGGGTGTGGAAGATGCCCTAGCACAGAGGAAGCAGCAGAATGGAGGTTAGAAGAGCCCGTGGAGTCACCCACTTGGAGATCACTGCTTCCTTTAGGACGAGTGTCCAGCCCACAGGCTGCATGTGGCCCAGGATGGCAATGCATGCAGGCCAACACAAAATCATAAATTTACTTAAAACATGAGACTTTTTTGTGATGACATGTCACAATGTCACATAAAATAAATGTAGGTACTCTCTTGCTATTTGTATGCATGCATGGCTTCTGTTTTATGGTGGTGTGTGGCTTACAGTGTGTTATCTTTCAAGTGCAGACAATAGCATTGACACCATCAGACATAACATGTGCTCATGGTGATTTAGTGAGGCAGTGATTATTAATAATATTTCAACCTACCATTGCAGCGTTAGGTGTTTCATGTTATTTAGAAATCAGGTAAGCATTCTTATGTGACTATTAAAGGTACTTCCACATCTTGGCCACATCTCACACATCACCTACCATGCTTTATAATCAGCCTTCCACCCCACCTTGCATCAGCAGCCAAGAAGGCTCTGAAAGGTCCCAAACCTTGCTATTTTCCTGTCAATTATTTTTTATAATAAAAGTAAAGTCACTTATATATTATTATTATTAAGTGTATGTAACTGATTATGCTATTACAGTTGTCCCATTTTTTTCTTCCTTTTATCCCCCTCCACCCTGATCCCCACCCCCAACATTCCCCCCTCCTTAGTTCATGTCCATGGGTCATACATATAAGTTCTTTGGCTTCTCCATTTCCCATACTGTTCTTAACCTCCCACTGTCTATTTTGTACCTACCAATTATTCTTATTCCCTGCACCTTTTCACCCATTCCTCCCCTTCCCTTTCCTCGCTGATAACCCTCCATGTGATCTCCATTCCTGTGATTCTGTTCTTGTTCTAGTTGCTTGTGAGCTTGTTTTTGTTTTTGTTTTTGTTTAGGTTCAGTTCTTGATAGTTGTGAGTTTGTTGTCATTTTATTATTCATAGTTTCAATCTTCTTCTTTTTCTTTGATAAGTCCCTTTAACATTTCATATAATAAGGGATTGGTGATGATGAACTCCTTTAACTTGACCTTCTCTGGGAAGCACTTTATCTGCCCTTCCATTCTAAATGATAGCTTTGCTGCATAGGGTAATCTTCGATGTAGGTCCTTGCCTTTCATGACTTTGAATACTTCTTTCTAGCCCCTTCTTGCCTGCAAGGTTTCTTTTGAGAGATCAACTGATAGTCTTACAGGAACTCCTTTGTAGGTAACTGTCTCCTTTTCTCCTGCTGCTTTTAAGATTCTCTCCTTATCTTTAATCTTGGGTAATGTAGTTGCCTTGGGTTATGATGTGCCTTGCTGTGTGCTTCCTTAGGTCCACCTTCTTTAGGACTCTCTGAGCTTCCTGGATCTCCTGGAAGTCTATTTCCTTGGCCAGATTGGGAGAGTTCTCTTTCATTATTTTTTCAAATAAGTTTTCAATTTCTTGCTTTTCCCCTTCTCCTTCTGGCACCCCTATGATTTGGATGTTGGAGCATTTAAAGTTATTCCAGAGCTTCCTAAGCCTCTCTTCATTTTTTTTGAATTCTAATCCCTTCATTCTGTTCTGGTTGAAAGTTTATCTTTTCCTTCTTCTCCATATCATTGAGTCCCAGTTTCCTCCCCTTTACTGTTGGTTCTCTGTATATTTTTCTTTATTTCACTTTGCATAGCCTTCACTTTTTCCTCCATTTTATGACCATACTCAACCAGTTCTGTGAGCATCCTGATTACCAGTGTTTTAAACTGTGCATCTGTTAGGTTGGCTCTCTTTTCATCGCTTAGTTCTTTTTTAAGAGCTTTGATCTGTTCTTTCATTTGGGCCTTATTTCTTTGTCTCAGTGTGCCTGTTACATTACATGGGGGCAGAGCCTTAAGTATTTGCCAGGGTGGGGCCACCCAGCTCCCTGTGTTGTGACACTCTGTGTGGGTGAGGGGTCAGAGAGGTAACAATGCCACTTGCTCAGCTCTCAGTGGCTTTCAGTCACTTACCCCAGTACCCACAAGCAAATTGGGCCCTTCTAGTGCTGATTCCTGGGCAGGTAGGTTTGTGTTTGTTCTGGGACCCTGTGAGTCCTTCGAATGAGCTTTCCTGTGAGGCTGGGGGTTCCTCCTACTGCCTCAACTGCTAGAGGTTTTTATATCCAAAGGTTTTTAGGCTTGCTTTTCCCATGCTGGAACCCTGGGTTGCATAGTCTGTCGTGCCCCCGAGATGTTCTTCCTGGTTTATCCACATGGAAATGTGGGTCCACCGGTCTTCCAGTTGCTGCCTTGCCAGGTGTCCTCTCCACCCTGGGTGCCCATCTCTGCCCCTCCTACCAGTCCGGATGAATGTTTCTTCTTTAACTCCTTGGTTGTCAGATTTCTATGCAGTTCAATTTTCTGGCAGTTCTGGTTATCTTTCGTTTTTCAATTTTTTGTTGTCCTTCTTTTGGTCGTGGGAGGAGGTAAAGTCTATCTACCTATGCCCCCAACTTGGCCAGAAGCATCTCTTCTTTTGAACGTTTCTTCTTTAAGTCCTTGGTTGTCAGATTTCCATACAGTTCTATTTTCTGCCAGTTCTGGTTTTCTGACAGTTTTTTGTTTTTAAATTTGTTGTTATCCTTCTTTTGGTTATGCGAGAAAGTAAAGTATATCTACGTATAATTCCATCTTGGTTGGAAGATATTATTATTTTTAATCCCAGCATGTCTTCTAAAATGTCTCAAAATAAAAAAGAACTCCCAAAAAGAAAAATTATGGATGACGGAGTATTGTTCAATGAAAAGTAGACAGATGACCACTTTTTTATTTAGGCAAATAGTAAGGCACTCTGCTTAATTTGTAGGGAATTTGTACATGTTTTCAAAGTCTATAATTTGAGAAGGCATTATATGCAAAAACATGCTGCCAAATTTAATGCGTATGAAGGATTGTGTTGTAGACAAAACAGTGGAAATGAAAAAAAAGTCTGTCTTCTCAACACAAATTTTTTCAAAAAGTTACAATCAGAGCAGGTAAGGATTCTGAATTTCACAGCTTTGTAGATAAGTAAAGAGAGTAACGAGGGAGTGAACACCATAAACAATGGGTGTTAAAAGGGCCTGGCCCAATCTCTTCCCCTCCAGCCCTGGTGAGATGTCTTGTTTTACTGCTTTACGGATGACTCACCAGGGCCCAGAGGTGAGTGGATCCACATATCTTCACACAGCTCTTATCTCAGGGAATGGGAAACCCCAGGCCTCCGATCTCCTCAATAACAAAGTTGGTTTTGGGGTTTTTTTTTTTCAGTTCTAGCATTTCAAAACTAGGAGGACCTTCTAGTATAGGGGTCACAGACATCTGTAGGGGCCAGGGAGCTCCAATAAGTCAGTAGGATCATTACAGATTGATTGAGTGTTAACTTACTTGCATGTTAAATAGGTTGGAATAGTTTTCACTCTACAAAGAATTTTTTTCTTTTCTAGTTTTCTTGAAATCTGCATAGCTTTCATTCTTTTTAATTTTAATTTGTATTTCTTTATGTTTGATGGAGACCTGTGTGGAGAAACATTCTATCTGTTTTGGCAAATCCAGAGTCCCCTTTTGACAACCCAGGGTAACTTCCACTCAGGCTTGGTGCCCAGGAGCAGCTGTGCAGGCGTGGAGCCACCTGGAGGCTCTGCTTCTGATAAAGCAGCACCACTCTTCAGTCCCAGCTCTCCCAATTCATCTGAATCTCCCAACTTTGAAATTGGTGACTAATTCCTATTTATACCAACACATTGGCACACCTGACAAAGTGTGTCCACAGGCTAGACCAAGCCTACCCCCCAATTTTCCCAGGTGCTGAGTACCAGAGAAAGGGACTCTTGAGGCCACTACAGCTGTTTACTGAATAGTAGTAAGAAAATTTCAGGTCTTCATCATTATTTTTATTTAGTTTAAAGTCATTAAAAAACATAATCTTATTCATTTATTTTTACAGGGAGTGAGAAGTAACTTATGGAAAGCTTCTCACAACAGATGTCCAAGATATGCCAATAGGTGTGTGTGCATTGAGATTTTTATTCTGTCCCCACCAGCACTGGCCAGTATTTGTGGAGGTTAAAGACCTGTTGACATTGGTGCCACCCTTAGTGGGCCTGAAGGGGAACCTGGAGATGACACTGGCATCACGACTCTCCACAGCTGTAAGTAGACAATTGGACATCTGGGCCAACTTCCCCCGGGCGAGGAAAATATTTGCATCACTAGGTCTCCCTGAAGTAGCTTGTGGGTAGGTGGGTTGGACTCTCCAAAAAGACAAGTGTTATTGAGTTTTGTTCTGTCATGATGCCTGCCATCCTGTTTTTCCATAGCTAAGTTGGACTGCTGGTCTGACTGGGCTTAGCCCCTGTGTTCCCTGAGCTTCTTCTTTAACCCCATGTCAGGTAGGACTCTGTGTCCCTGTGCCCAACATACATGCTGCCCTTGCTCAACCACCTCAACCTTGAGCCCAGCTCCACACATTTACACTGAAGCCATTATTATGGCTTCACTGTGGGTTTGATGGAGGATTTCATAGAGGAGACAGAGTATTAAACGCTGTTAATGACCTCTGTGAGGGGTTGTTTTCTCCAAAAGGGCTCCTTGAATGCTGTACAACCAGAGGTGTTTTCTTGTGGACTCTAACTAGAGGGTTCCTAACTTTGCCCCTCTTCTTATCTCTCCCAGATCTTCTGGGAATTGAAATTCTTTTTCTCTCTGTGATGCCCATTTGATATACAGTATTTGAAAAAGGCCCGTGGCGAGAGGAAGTGTGATGTATTCAAGAAACTGAGAAGAGCGACAGATTTGGTTGGAGTGCTGAGGGTGAGGTGAGGGAGCTGCCTGGAACAGGAAGCTGGAGACATAGGTGAGGGGTGGTTGGCTGAACAATAGCCCCCAGAAATGTCCATGTCTTAATCACTGGGATCTGTGAATATTACCTTATATGGAAAAGGTTTTTGCAGATATGATTAAGGACCTTGACATGGGAGAACATCCTGGATTATAAGAATCCTTATAAAGGGGAAGCAGAGGGAAGTTTCATACAAAAGAGAAGAACTGTGAGAGAAGCAGAGTCCCAGAGAGAAGATCCTCTGCCACTTTGAAGATGGAGAAAGAGCCACAAGCCAAAAAATGTAGCTGTACCTACTGGAAAAGGCAAAGGAACAGATTTTCCCCTAAAGCTTCTGGAGGGAGCAAGCCTCTACTGACACCTTGATTTTAGCCCCATAAAACTTATTTCAGGCCCCTGGCCACTAGAACTTTAAGAGAATAAATTTCTATTGTTTTATGGAATAATTTGTTATAGCAATAACAGGGAACCTGGCATATGGGACCAGATCATGTAGAGCCCTGTAGGACATCAAAATGTTTTAAGCAGCAGGTAACATGAAGCAGGCACACACAAATACACATTTATACACAAAACATGGATACCTATGTATGCATGTATACACTGACATGCCTGATTATATTGATCAATGTTCGGGCAGGAAAAAATGTTGATTGTTATCTCTGCCATGCTGGCATTTCAGATGTTGCATTTTTATTTCATAACACTTAACTGTATTTTAAACACTTTTCTGCAATGATCATATCTTAATGCTGTAATTCTTTTAAAATATGTAAAACATGGAGGGAAAATAGAATTACTTAGTATAATTCACTACACAGGTATATCCAAGGAGAACAGTCCCTTTATCATCACAGTAGAATATTAAAGGCACTTAACATTCATTCTTAATTGTTTTAATCATTACATTAAGGTATAAATTAATATAAGAAAAACACAGATTTTTAAATTTTTTATAATCCTCAACTGAGGATTTTTTTAAATTGATTTGAGAGAGAGGGTGACATTGATGTGAAAGAGAAACATTGATCAGTTGCCTCTTGTATGCTCTCTAAAAACTGGGGGTCAAACCCACAACCTAGGCATGTGCCCTGACTAGGAATCGAACCTGCAAACTTTTGGTGTACAGGACAACACTCCAATCAGATGAATCCCTGACCTACGCAAAATTCACAAATTTTACGTTCACAGGTCATTGATTTTTGACAATAAATAAATATGTATATATCCATGTACTACTACTGCAATTGAGATTTAAAATATTCCCCTCACCCTAAAAGGTTCTCTCACTTTGTTTTACAGTCATCAGTCCAGTTTCTCCCACTACTTCATCCTGGCAGCCTCTGATCCAGTTCCAATCTCTGTAGATTACGATTTCCTTCACACCCATTCATCATTTAAAAAAAAACAAAAACAAAAAACTCTCAGTGCAACTTGAAACAAGAATATTTTATTGGTCTTGTTCTGGATGTTTAGTTAATTAAATAAGCCGCAGAGAGCAAACGAGACCTTAAATATTGGAAAGCAGGAGAAAAATTTGCTATTGATATGCTTGTGTTCTTGGAAAATTCTAAGCAAGTTAACTGGAAAACCATTAAGGATAATAAGCTCAGTAAAGGACCCCAGTTTTAAAATATCAGGATGAAATTTGAAATATACATTAACATATGTATGTATATACATTTATACACACTAAAAATAATTACAAAATGCAATTGGAAAAGAGCTATCTATCAAACTATTAACTGATTTTAAAGCATCTTCAGCATGAAGCCTCAGAAAGAAATATACAGGACCTAGGAAATAAAACCCTAAAAAGGGAAATACAAATCTGAAAATGCAAATATGAAGTTTCTGACTGGGTAGTCATTGTTGTAAACCATCAGTTCTCCTTGTCTTAGTTTATAAAATTTATATAATTTTTACCAATCTGCTAAAGGGATTTAGGGAAGCTTATCTGGAAGAATGAGTGAGAATAGCCAAGAAAATATTGGTAATAGTAGAGAATCAAGATGCCAGAGGAGTGAGTGGAAGTCACACCGACTTCCTCCCAGGACAAATCTGGAATTACAACTAAAATATGGAGAAATCACCTGGAACAAACAACTAACCAATAGCAAGAGGAGCCTTATAACTTGGACAGAAAAAGAATCAGCTTTAGCACAACCTAACGGGTAAGGAGTGTGATAGAGACTTGAGAAGGTGGGTGAGGTGCCCACCAGTGACTGCACCAGTAGGATATTGAAACGGCCACTTGGATCCCTCTGAGATGAGTGGATTCTAAACCATAAGAGGGGATCTCCAGCCTATAGCACAAGAGCCCAAAAAGTACACAGATAACAGCTAACTGCAAAAAGCAGCAGGGTTGCTCTCTGCCAGAGACAGGTGGCTGGAGGCACAAAGAGCTGTTTAAAGGGCCAATGCATACGTTTTCATTTGCAGCCACTTAACCTGGTCTCCAGCAAAGGTGGGGCAGAATAGGCTAGAGACACCTGAGAAGAGACTGGAGGCTTTGGGGAGAAAACAGAGAGTGGCTGGTGGGATTTTGGTGCTGACTCATGCACCAAATGGCAGCAGACATCTTGCTCAGGCAGATCCTCCTCTGAGCAGCAGCACAGTGAAAGGATCCAATAACCCCACCCCAACGAGGGACTCTGCCCCACCCTGTGGTGTCTAAGCCGCCTGCTGAGTGCAGAGTGACTAGATTAACAACTGAAGGAGACAGCCACAGACAGTAGATTCCCAGAAGTCTATAACAGACTACCTAAGGTCAGACAAGGTCAACATCTGACATCATCAGAGGCACATCCAGAAAGTAAAAACAGCGGTCTCCTACCATAGAAGTTCATACCACAAAGTCAGGAAATCAACACAGATCAATTTAAGAAGCAGAAGCAAAAAAGACTCACAAATAATGGGAAGACAAAGAAACAACCCCCAGTCAAAGGGAAAGAAGGAATCCCCAGAAAGAGAACTAAATGAGAGACAAGTAAACTATCAGATATTGAGTTTAAAAAAAAAACAGTTCTAAGGAACCTCAGAGAGCTCAGTGAGCTCAAAGAGAATTAACAAAAACTATAGGGAAACTTTGAGGAACTTACTGCAAACTATATCAGCATGAAAAATGACATAAAAACTATCAATAAGAGACAAATGGAAATGAAGAATACAATTGTCACTGCCCTCAGCCTTCAGGTTTAGGCACCGCAGGGTGGAGCAGTGCCATCTGAGGCTGGGGCTATATTGTGTCCTTATAGGCTGCTGCCACTTAGGGGACTGGTCTGCCTGGGCAAGATGGAAGCTGAGGGTTGGGGGAGGAGTCAGCACCGACATTGCCCTGGCTACTCCCTCAGTTCTCTCCCCAATGCTTTTGTCTCCATTTTCTCCTCGAGTGTGTCTAGGCAGCTCTGTGTCTCCTTTAGCCAAGGATCCACTTTCTACACCAGGTGCTCTGCACTCAGCACCCAGGCCTGTGGGCAACACCTGGCTGGGGCAGTGTCCTGAGGGTGATCCTACTGTGTCCTTTATGCCTGAGCAAGATGGAGGCTGCAGAGTGGGAGGTGAGTCGTCACCGGGGCCCCGATGGCCACTGTCTCAGTTCTCTCCACAGAGCTGTCCTCACCAATCTTTCCTCAGGTTCCAGGCCACTCTGACCCCGTCTCTTCCCAGAGACCAAGGAAAGTGGCTGCCATTGCAAATTTTTGCCTTGGCCCTTTAAATGTCTCTTTGCGTCTCCAGCCGCCTGTCTCTGGCACCACTATGCTTTTCGCAGCTGTCTTTTGTTTGTGTGCTTTTTTGGGTTCTGGTGCTGTAGGCGAGTTCCCCGCTTATGATTCAGACCCTTTTCTTCTTAGGGAGATCCAACTAGCCATTTCAATATCCCTCTGGTGCTGGCACCTGTGGGCACCCAGCTCACCCTCTGGAGCCTCCACCGCACTTCTCACCCATTAGGTTTTGCGAAAGCTTATTCCACTGTCTGTCCAAGGCTCCAAGTCTCCTCTCTCACTATCGTTCCACTGTTTTCCAGGTGATTGCTCCACAATTTAGTTGCATTTCCAGTTTGGTTATGGGAGAAGGTCAGTGTGACTTCCACTCACTCCACCAAATTCCACCTCCCCATCTCCTCCACTTGTTAATCTAGTCACTCTGCCCTCAGCAGTCCTGCCGGGGCAAAGTCCCTACTGTGGGAGGGGCTATTGCATCTTTTCACACTGCTGCCACTCAGGGGAGTGGTCTCTGCCTGAGCAAGATGGCTGCTGCCATATGGGGGAGGAGTCAGCACCAGGGTACCCCCAGCTACTCCCTCAGTTC